ACTTCAAATGCCTCTGAACCTTCTCTCCAACCAGACTTATCTCCCTTCTCAAAGAGGAACCTCTCCTCGAGTGGCTGCAAGCTCATAAGCTCTTGAGTGCGCACCTACCATGCAGCTGTGGATTGGTCCCACGACGTTGCTCCAAAACCACCAAAAGCGGCCTTCGCGTTTGGTATCTCAGATGTACCAACTCCGACTGTCCTGTCTCTGATACTTCTGTGAGATCCGGGATATGGTAAAGAACTACTCTATCATTCATAACTATGGTAAGCATCTTATCCCTCATCGCCGTCGGTCGACGGCCTAAGGACATCGTCTCTGAGCTCGGTGTGTCCTCGCGAAGCGTAACTTGGTGGTTGCAAATAGCAGGCCAGGCTTGTGACGTGGCTTCAATTTTTTGCAGATCTTCTTCAATCTTCTCGTGACCTGGCGTGATCTTCTCATAATTAGTCAGTAGATGTTACTGCTTATGTAAGGGGGGTCAATGTTTGCTTATTTGCAGATCGACAATAGATGCAGAGTCTGCATTGCAGACAATCAAAAACTACCGGGTGGCAGAGGTTAGGCAAAATGAGCCAGCACCCTCACCAGCAACTGATAGATGATAAAGTAAAGTGTCAATAAGCCTCACAATAACAGTTAGGACCAGAAACAACAACATCAAAGCGAAATACACAGGCTAGAGTATTGTAAAGGAAGTCTCTTTTCTGAGAATTTTCGCGCTCGCCCCGCGCAGCCTTGCATAACAGCCTTGTCTCGCAGCCTTGCCTTGCATAACTGTAGTATAGCAGTTCGGGTTTTTAGTTTCCCTCAATAACAGCCCAGTCTCGGCTAACCTAGAGCTTGTTACTTACCGCAGACATACACATGCGCACGTACTGACTTTCCTGCTTAGCGTGACGTTAGAGTCTATGCCTGATAGTCATTGTGGTTTCCTTTCTAATACAGTTGGTCCAATGCAACCAACAGCAGTGTCGCCGACGGGGAGCAGCACTAGTCGTTCCTTTCCCAACACTTTATTACATAAACTTAACGAGGCAAAGATAAAGGCAACCTCGAAAATACCCGGGGTAAAGTTGACCTCTACACCAGAAGCATCTCAGGAATACTGCTATCAGATTCGACGACATAATCTTTCAGAACATTCACCACGTGACTCTGTGACGTCTTATGAAGTAAAAAGTGGTATGTCAACTCGATGGCCCAAAAGTATATTCTCAGACCAATTCACATCGAGTGCTCACTGAAGACAATTCGTATTCTGATCGACCGGAATTGGCACTAGGTGTACTTGAAGTGGCTTTGGTGAAGGGAAAGGATTTGCAGGTAGTAGTAGTAGTAGTAGTAGTAGTAGTAGTGGTGGTGGTGGTGGTAGTAGTAGTAGTAGTAGTGGTGGTGGTAGTAGTAGTAGTAGTAGTAGTAACACTTGAGGTAAGCTTACGGTGTTCTCAGGCTAAAGAGCCGTTCGTTGAAATCTATTTGGAAAACCATCACCGACGAAGCGGCCATGCTACGATTGATAAGAACTCAGGAAGTAATACAAGGCTTGGGTAGTACTGCGATAGTATACCTTGGTTTCTCTCGTGCTGGGTATTTTTGAATTTCATCGGACTTGGCTATGTGGTGAATACCTGCTAGAAAAGAGAGATTTTCATCCCTAATTCCTACCGAGAAAGTTCCCCTGGAATTTCTTTTCGGTGTAGCTATAATTCGAATATGTGAATGGAGTTTCACCACCCTACACTAGTGAGAAATATATTTCACGACTACTGCATATCACCGCGAATATCGCGGTTTTCACCACTTCACGTAAAACGGGGCGTGAAACTCCTGTGAATCGTTAAACATTGGAGATATGTTTCGGAAGGTTTAGCTTACATTCACACGTCATCGAATGGGTGAAGTGACGGATTTTTGGGAAATTTGGTTCTCGGGTAAAATATTCACCCAGGAGGAATATATTTTATCGGAATTACTCTGCCGTTTTATGAAAATTTAATTGTATATCTTTTTTTAGCGGTTAGTTGGGAAAACGCTCGATGGGCTCTGGAAGTGACGGATCTCGCAAGCGACCTCCATGTGGTCATCTTTGCCACTCATCAGTTTAGGACTCCGCAACCCTTAGGAAGAGTGATTGTAATAATATGCAGGGGCGTGTGAACTCGGTAGAGTTGTTTTAATACTACGGGGTTGGTGATTGAGCGTTTTGTGTGGGGTAAAATATTCACATATGTTGGTGACAGTGAAAATTTTTAAGAAATTCTCATTGGTATGTGTAAAGTTTGTATATGAACTTAAAAAATGTGTGAGGATAGCGATATTTATTTCAACAGTGATTGAGCGTTTTGTGTGTATACCAGAATTACTCGCATGCCTTCAGCTGGGGAGAGATGATAAACTACGTGCCAATTTGATATGCAAATGTGTGTTATTTTGAAAGACAATGTATAGTAAACAAGTTGTCGCTACCATCACAGTCCCAAACGGGTACTTTCATCACAACACATGTTCATAGTCATTGTTACATTGTATATGCGATATGGTTTTATATTGATTCTTATTAACATCGAAAAATAACACACATTTGCATTTTAAATTGGCACGCACTGTACATTCACTACTACTGTTGCATGCGGGAGAGACATGGAAACTATCGTGAGTAATTCAGTGGTTATATGCTGTGATAGTGGTACGGAATTACCCAGCAATAATCGGCCGGTTATGTGACTTTAACTGGAGAGTTGAGAATTCGAGATTCTGGTGATAATCAGTCATTTCGGCGTATTAGGCTTCTTGCGCGGAGGAGCTGCAAAATTCCCACTTGAATGGGACAGCAGTATTTTCCCCCTCGGACTGGAGATTAATTTATGTGGTGTGGTTAAGTCGTATAATCATGTTCTTATCGGTGCGGGGGGATATGCACATGGTCAACAACTACATGTGTCGGTGATTGCTGTTGATTGCTGGATATTTCTACCCGAATTCATATATAAACCTGTTGAGCTCAGCTGAGGAAAGGAAATATATATTTCTACTCTAACACTGGTTCTTATCTATCCAAGTGATTGTGATCTCAGAGTTTGATTATTCTCACAAATTTCAATCTCGTTAACGTCTTGGGATTGCCGTGGCTTTGTCGTTAGATACCGTTGGCAACCCTTATAGAAGATTCTTGGTCTGGACATGCGAGGCCTTTGGAACGTAGTTGGTTCGAAGTGTACCCTATTACGACTAAAGTTGAACAGAAGGCGGGATGCAAGGAAACGCAGGAGTACTACTCTTGTAAAAAGTAGTTCGGGGTTGAACGTTTTTCCCCGGGTAAAATCGTCCGAAGTGGAATGGTGGATAATCGCTGATGGATTTTTTTTCTTCTTTATCAAGACTCGTCCCTCAAACTACGTCTCTTACTTCGAGTACGAGGAGTTTCGTCGGCCCGACTCTTTCGCGTTCAAATAGGGGCAGTACTGATAACCTCTTTACGGGCTGTTTCCACCCTAGAGCTACTACTTCCCAACGTGAATTGAAAGAAGTATGGTACGACTATAATCCTTTTAGCAAGTAATAATCGTGGATAGGGAAGCGACATATATGAGTTGAAGAGGATTGGGGAATTTCAGGTATCTTACAGCAGTCCCGAATTGGCCAGATTCTGGTATGGTTAAGCCAGCTAAATCGATAGGATTTATATGTCTAGAGGTAATAGTAGTAGTTTAAGTGGATTATAGTTGTTGTTGTGTAGCAGGCTCAACAGTGTGGGAATATTCACATTTTTCTATGATAACCTACTAGTTGACCATGTGCATATTGTATGAAGATCACTCGAGAATAGTACTGCGAGTTCAGTGTGGGAATATATGTTTGATTTCCCTACTACAGTGGAGTTTCACCACCCTAGTGATATGAAAAACATAGTTCACGACTACTGTATATCACCGCGAATAAAATCGCGTTTTCCACGCAGTATTATGCCACTTCACGTAAAACGGGTTAAACTCCATTATGAAAATACACATATTATAAAATCAACGATATTTTTTTCTCAGAATTTTTATATTTTTACCACCATATGTAGTTGACCATGTTCATATATTTCCTCTCACACTTTTCCCTAATGTTAGCTCAGCCTGAAGTTGGATGAATCGGCATGGGTGGCGATATTGAAGTCTCGGCCCTGGTGGTTGCTCGGAACAAGAAGAATTGAAAACGACGATGAGGTAAAAAGCGGACCTATTTTGAATCTTACTAACTTGAACCTTGGATATTTTTCAGGAGGCAGTGCAGGGGAAATATCCGATCAATAGCCAGGATCGAATTTTGCGTGATGAATGTGAATTTGAGGCGAATCCATCTACCATGTATGTGATGCCAAGATTGAACGACGCTGATGGAGATGTGGCCTTGTGGGCTTTATTGAGAAATTTCCGATTTCTCTCGAAAAGAAATAAAACCCGAATTCACAGGCTGAAAAGTATGGTGCCTTTACTCGCGTATTTTTTCTCGGGGCATGGGCCTCTGGGACTACTCGTGATGATATGGACGTATACGTGCTTGTTAGCACCTAGATTGCTATGGCCTTGGATACTGCTTGCTCTACTTACACTTAATGGATTGATGTCCGCCCGAGACTGGGAATTCCGACAGAGGGACGCCTATGTGGTGTGGGAGGCTGACGTAGGAAGTAGAGAAAATGCTGATGTGCGGCTACGTCGTATGTTGGTTAACTCGAGCGAGATGAATATTGCAATACATAAGGCTCTGAATGTGATCGAAAGAATACCTATTGCGTGGAACTGGAGTGACCCTTTGGTGACTAGAGTGGCTTATGTAATGGCAATACCGACGTGTGGAGTGGTTTCGGTGATTCTAGCAGTAGTTCCGCTGCAGTTTATGGTATTTGTGATTGGTACGGTAGTGATATTGGAAATTTTCTGGACTCAGGAGAAGAAGCGAAAAGTTTTGGCTAGTGGAAAGGAGGGATCGGAAGAATTCGGTGAAAGTGAGCGAAGTGGCTTTGGTTTTGGCGAAAAAATGGGAAAAATTGCGAATTTATTGCGGAATTTTTTCTGGATGATTCCGGACGATTATGAACTGGGACACCGGTACGTCGCGAACACGCAGAGGGTTGGTGTTGGCGGAGCGGCGAAAAAAATTTCCACTGATTTTAGGGTGAATCGGTGAGTATGATATTCTGAGGTTGTACGGTATGTTTTATTGACGATTGAGCTTTTATTAATGAAATAATTCCATTGCTGTTAATAGTACAGTTTCGAATTTCACACGTACGTGGTGTTGTCTTTGGAAAAGAGGGCCCATATAAAGGGTTAGATATCAGCATATGAAAATGTCGCGCCAGGGTCCCATATAGGGAAATAGCATCTAATGGAGTTTGGTAGCACTGGGGAAAATGCTCTTAATGTGATGACATTCACATGGGAAACTGATTGAAGAAAAGGGAAAATTATAGGTTTCTGGGTGATTCGCAAGTTGACACCCGTGTAGTGTTTATATTGTTTTGTCTCTATGTCGGCTCTATCACTACTAAGGCTAGTAGACACTCTTAACTCGAATCGCTTCGTATTAGCTTCGAGTCGCCACGCCGACTGGAGCTCCTCAGACCGTCAGTGGTGGTCGCCTGAACATCGAAGTGATGGGTTCGACCTTT